GGCTCCCCCCCATACACACCCCTGTTCCTCCTTGCCCCAGGGCTCCCATCCCATTTCCCTTCTTTCCCTTCTCCCCAGATTGCTCTGCTGAAGATCCTCCTCGCTGCAGCCCCCACTTCCAAAGCCAAGACAGACTCCATCAACATCCTGGCTGATGTCTTGCCAGAGGAGATGCCGTGAGTGCCGGTGGGGGGTGAGCAGAGGTGCTGCTGGGAAGGGAAGGGAAAGGGAAAGGGGAAGGGGAAGGGGAAGGGGAAGGGAAGGGAAGGAAAAGGGGAAGGGGAAGGAAAGGGGTGATGAGGAGGAGCCAGGCAGGGTGGTGTGGTTTGGGCTGGGGCTGTGTTGAGGTTCTCCTGGGTGACCTCACCACCTTCTGCTCAGTGGGGTGCCAAGTGTTGGGTGCTGCTGGCAGGGCACGGGGTGGCAGGGCTGCCTGCAGACAGTGCCCCAGCCCAAGGAGCCCTCTATGTCCCTTAGGACCACGGTGCTGCAGAGCATGAAGCTGGGGGTGGACGTGAATCGGCACAAGGAGATCATTGTCAAAGCCATTTCTGCTGTGCTGCTCCTCCTGCTCAAGCACTTCAAGCTGAACCACATCTACCAGGTGAGGTGGGACAGGGTCCAGCCACCCTGCCCGGGGCTTTGGGGATGGGCAGGACTCAAACTGGGTCCCCATTCACTCATCTTTGTCCCCAGTTTGAGTACATGGCCCAGCACCTCGTCTTTGCCAACTGCATCCCTCTCATCCTGAAGTTCTTCAACCAGAACATCATGTCCTACATCACTGCCAAAAACAGGTAACGAAGGGAGCTGCCCACCCATGCCCCTGCTTGCTTTGCCCCCTCGTGATCCCCCCTTGGCTGTGGGTGCAGGTGGACCTGGGGAAGTGCTCACAGCAGCTTCCAACCCAAACCATTCCACGATCTCCTGTGGGTGGGAGGTGTGGGGCTGTTACCCGCAGGCTGGGTAGGATGTGGGGGAGCAGCACAACACCCTTCTCCCTGCAGCATTTCTGTCCTGGACTACCCATACTGTGTGGTGCACGAGCTGCCCGAGCTGACAGCAGAGAGCCTGGTGAGTCACTCCTGGCACCCTTGGGTGCTCCCTGGAGGGGGGGAACATGGGTGCATGGGGGCATCAGAGCTCCAGCATCCACTCCTGCACTCAGTCCCTGGGACTTTGGGGTGGTGCATGTTGAGCTGTACCCCTTTGGGTACGGGTCTTCAGACCGGAACAGCCTCCCCTCATCCCTGTTCCCATCTCCTGCGTGACTCCTGCCCCTGCATCCCCACAGGAAGCTGGAGACAACAACCAGTTCTGCTGGAGGAACCTCTTCTCCTGCATCAACCTCCTGCGCATCCTGAACAAGCTGACCAAGTGGAAGCACTCCCGCACCATGGTGAGGGTGGGGAGCCCACTGGGGCCCAGCCCAGCCACACTGGGCTCCACAGGGTGCCTGGGCTGGGGATGCCTTGGGGTGCCCCTGGGGTACTTCAGGGAGAGGGGGGGTGCTCACTGCAGTGAGTGGTGCCACACCCCACAAAGGGACCTGGACACGCTTGAGAGGTGGCCAGTGCCAACCTCATGGAGTTCAACAGAGCCAAGTGCAAGGTCCTGCCCCTGGGTCAGGCACAGCCACAGGTTGGGCAGGAAGAGATTGAGAGCAGGCTGAGGTGAAGGACTTGGGGGTGCTTGGTGGCAAGAAGCTCCCCATGACCTCGCCAGACCCCCCCCCCCGCTGGGCTGTACCCCCAGAGCGTGAGCAGGGAGGGGATCCTGCCCCTCTGCTGTGCTCTGGGGAGACCCCACTTGGATGGAGCTCTGTGTGCAGGTCTGGTGCTCCCAACACAAGGGATGTGGACCTGGTTGGGCAAGTCCAGAGGATGCCATGGAGATGCTGCAAGGGCTGGAGCAGCTCTGCTCTGGAGCCAGGCTGAGAGAGCTGGGCTGGGGCAGCCTGGAGAAGAGAAGGCTCCTGAAGGGGAGACCTTAGAGCAGCTCCAGTGCCTAAAGGGGCTGCAGGGAACCTGGAGAGGGGCTTGGGACAAGGGCCTGTAGGGACAGGCCAAGGGGAATGGCTTGAACCTGCCCGAGGGGAGACTGAGCTGAGCTCTTAGGCAGAAGCTCTTCCCTGTGAGGGTGCTGAGGCGCTGGCACAGGGTGCCCAGGGAAGCTGTGGCTGCCCCATCCCTGGCAGTGCTCAAGGCCAGGTTGGACACAGGGGCTTGGAGCAAGCTGCTCCAGTGGAAGGGGTCCCTGCCCGTGGCAGGGGTTGGAGCTGGAGGAGCTTTAGGTTTCCTTCCCCCCAAACCATTCCATGATTCTATGTCACTCTCTGTCCCTGCAGATGCTGGTGGTGTTCAAGTCAGCCCCTATCCTGAAGCGGGCCCTGAAGGTGAAGCAGGCCATGATGCAGCTCTATGTGCTGAAGCTGCTCAAGGTCCAGACCAAGTACCTGGGCCGGCAGTGGAGGAAGAGCAACATGAAGACCATGTCAGCCATCTACCAGAAGGTGCGGCACCGTCTCAACGACGACTGGGCTTACGGCAATGGTACGTGAATGCCAGGGGCTGCAGAGCATCCCCTCAGCCAGGTCCTTGCTACTCCAGGCAGGGACTTGTTTGCACCCAGAGCTGTCCCTTTGCTGCCTTTAGGGCTGGGGTGTGGGGAGGGATTTGGGGTGGTGGCATCATGCGGAAGAGGGGCCGTTGGTCTCTGCCTCCTCCATGCTCTTTGTAAGGACCTGCAAAGACCCTGCGGGATGTGGGCTGGCTGAAGGGCCCCGCTTCCCCTCTGACTCCCCTTTTCCCTGTACCCAGACCTGGATGCTCGTCCCTGGGATTTCCAGGCAGAGGAATGTGCCCTCCGTGCCAGCATCGAGCGCTTCAACTCGCGCCGCTACGACCGGGCCCACAGCAACCCCGATTTCCTGCCTGTGGACAACTGCCTGCAGAGCGTGCTGGGCCAGCGCGTGGACCTGCCCGAGGACTTCCAGGTCAACTACGACCTGTGGCTGGAGCGGGAGGTCTTCTCCCGACCCATCTCCTGGGAGGAGCTGCTGCAGTGATGGACACCGGCGAGGCCGCAAGGGGGTTGCTTTGGGGAGAGCTCAAGGCTGCTGCTATGGGGCAGGAGGATTGAAGCTTTGGAAGGGGTCTGTGGGTGCCCGGACCCCCCTGTGGTGGGCTTGGGAAGAGGCTGGAGCTGTGGGGTCCTCACCGAGGCACCATCCTGCCCCTTCTGTCTCCTTCCAGGCTGTGCCAGGCTCAACCCTGAGCCGAGCGTGAAGGTTTGGTGGAGGTTGTGCCCTATGGGGTGGGATGGGGACACAGACCTGTGTGTGCACCCCAGGAGGCAGCAGCACCAGCACCCTCCTCCTGCCCCCCAGCAGCCGGGGGCAAGAAGGGGGAGCAGGCAGTGGGGTGAGGGTCCCTTGGGTGCTGCTGTGGGGGGACACGGGGAGCAGAGGCTGCTGTGGCAGGAGAACGGGGGGGCCCTGCCTGGCTTCGGGGTGCAGGAAGGCGGTGGAGACTGCAGTGCCCTTTGTCCCCGCTGGGGGGCGCGGGGGAGCTGTACGCATACATCTGGTCCTGATGCTGTCCGAGCGTGGGCTCTGTCTGTCCGGATGGATCCAGCGGTGGTGCTGGCCTTGTCCCTGCTCCCTCCCCGTGTCCCGCTGCGGGGATGATGTGGCCCTGGAGGTTGCTTTGTTATCTCGCAGTGGGGAAAGGCAGGAGGAAGCTGTTTGCTTCCCTGCCTCGTTGGGATGCTGTTTGCTGCTGGAGCAGCCCTCATTTATCCCCCATGGTCCTCCAGGAGTGAGCCCAGCCTGGGGGATGCTCAGCCCTCATCCTGGCCGTGCTCCCGTGGGCTCTGAAGGCAGGAGGCAGCACACTCAGCCCTTCATAGGCATCAGAGAAGCCACTCTGGGGGGATTCCTTCAGTGTGGGTGCCCCCCAGTGCTCAGAACCTGGTCCTGTGGATGAGGTGTGAGCATCCCCCCCTTGCTCCAAACCATTCCCAGTCCGCGGCTGTTGCAGCACAGAAGGAGCTGCTTGAACCTGTGCTTTATTGTTCCTAAAGGATAACAAAACCCTCTCCAGCGGGAGGGAGCCAGAGCACGGGGTGCCCCAGGCTGGGGGGCACCCACTGGGTGCACAGCAGGGCTATGGGCTGCCTCCTGAGGGGGGGGCACCCCCTGTGCCTTTGCTGTGTCTTGAAGCATTTGGGCTCCCCCTTTGAGCCAAATGGGGCTGCCCTGGGAGGTTTGGTGCCCCCAGCACCCCTATTGGGGCACCCGGGGTGGTACCAGGTTGGGGTCCCATGTGCACCCCCTCACCTCATTGATCTGGGTGTCACGGGCTATGGGTGCCCCCCCCCCGGGCTTCAGCTCAGGTGTCTTCCTCCCACCCCATCCTGGTTTATCTCCAGTGCCAGGGGGGTTGTCCCTTGTCCCAGAGCTGATCCCCATTGCAAGGGGTGCATAAAGGGCAGCCGATGGCCTGGGGGGGGGCTTTGAGGACTCAATGAACACAATTGCCCCAGTACCCCCCCCGAGCATCTTGGGTGGGGGTCTTCCCACTATGGCTGAACTGGGACATGAAGAGCCCAGTTTCTGGTTGCACTGGGAAGGATGCAGTGGCCACATGGGCTGGGGAGTGGGGTGCTGCCCCCCAAACCAACCTGGTCCCCCCCCCCAGGGAGGCCCTGCTGCAACCCACCAGTGTCTCCATCAGCTCCTGTGGTCTGAAGGTGCTTGGGGGGGGGGGTCCTCAGGGTTCTTGGGAGCCGCTTTTAGGGTCCCAAGCTCCAGTTCCAGCCTTATTGGGGCAGATTGGGTTTGGGGGTGACCTTCATCCCCCCATCATCACCCAGGGGTATCCAACAGCGGGCTGGGATGCAGGGAAGCTCATGGAGATCAGGATGCACAGGGGCCCCAGCAACCTGCTCCCAAACCCTGGTGCTGGGGGGGGGGGTGATGGTCCATGGATCCCATGGGATCATGTAGCCCAGTTCAAGAAGCTGCTGGTGGCCTCTTTGCTCTTCACCCTCAGCGGCACCAATGCAGGGGACTTGTGTTGGGGTGCGGGCTCGAAGGGGGGGGCGCCCATGGCCGGGGGGGGGAGGCCGTGCAGGGGGTAGAGGCTGTTGATGGTGGGATGGGGGCCGGGAGAGGCGGGGATGCCCATGAAGGGGGTGATGCTGCCGTGGGGATACGGGGACAGGCCAGGGGCCGGGATGCTCTCAGGGGGCAGGAGCCCTGCGGGGTTCCTGGGGCCGGAGCTGGGCCAGAGACTGGTCTGGAGCTGAAAGAGAGCAAGAGAGAAAAGCCCCAAGTGAAATGGGGGGGACCCCGTTACCCCCCCATCCGCACCCATTGAGCCCCTTCATCCGCAGCGTGCGCTGCGAGGGATGCCTTTGCTTTGCTCTGATTGCCCCAAGGGGGTTGAATCCCGGTTGGAATCTTCCCTCCCTTCCCCATGCAGGGATTTCGGCATAGGGGAAGTGCATGGAGTGGAGATTTAAAGGATTTGTGTGTTTTTCAATGTTGGAAGGAGGGGGAAAAAGGGGGGAGTTTAGCAGGAAAAGGCCAGGAAGCATTGCTGGGTGGATGTGGGAGAGCTAAAGGTGTTTGCGGGAGGGACACCCCAAAACCTGCCCCAAAGGGTGTGTTCCCATGGGAAATGGAGGGGGATATAAAGCAGCATTGTCCCGAATGTGGCATGATGTGATGCTGCTTTTATTCCCTTCCTTTTCCACCCGGGCCCATGTGTTTTTCCCAAGGATGGATGGAACCACCTGGAGAGAAGGGGCAAACGCGGGTGATGGGGTTCATCCCGCAGCGATCCCTGCCCGGGATGGGGGATGCGGGGTGGGAAGCGCTCTCACCTCCTGGATTTTCCCATAACGTTCCCGTTTGCGCCACTTGGCTCTTCGGTTCTGGAACCAGACCTGGGGATGGAGGGGGGGGGGGGGCTGAGGTGAAGCATCTCTGGGGGCAGATGGGCAGCCCCTGCCCTGCTCCATGCTCATCTTCCCAGCTGGAAAAGAGCCCTAATGCCGTATCCCAGCATCCCGGTACACTGGAGGTGAATGGGGGAAGCTGCCTGTGTGCAGTCCTGCCATATAATATATAGCTGTATATGTATGGCTGTATGTATGTGGCCATGTAAGATACACATATATCCATATAATATGTGGATAATACCTTATATCCCTCTTGGAAAACAAGTGCTCCTGCTCCATGGATGCTGCTTCTCTCTCTTTTTGTCCTCCTGGGCCCTCTTTACCCCCGGTTTTGATGCAGAATGAGGCTCTTGGGGTCCTGTGTGGTCACTGTGACCCACCTGCGTGTCCCCCCTGAGCTGCTGGATGGGGCTGGCAACTGGTGCTGGATGCAGGCTGGGATGCAGGACTGGGATGCAGGACCAGGATGCAGGCTGGGATGCAGGGCCGGGATGCAGGACCGGGATGCAGGACTGGGATGGAGGGCTGGGATGCAGGACCAGGATGCAGGACTGGGATGCAGGACCAGGATGCAGGACCGGGATGGAGGGCTGGGATGCAGGCTGGGATGCAGGACTGGGATGGAGGGCTCGGATGCAGGACCGGGATGCAGGACCGGGATGCAGGACCGGGATGCAGGACCGGGATGCAGGACCGGGATGCAGGACAGGGATGCAGGACAGGGATGCAGGACAGGGATGCAGGACCGGGATGCAGGACCGGGATGCAGGACCGGGATGCAGGACAGGGATGCAGGACAGGGATGCAGGGCGGGATGCAGGACTGGGATGCAGGACCGGGATGCAGGACCGGGATGCAGGGCTGGGATGCAGGCTGGGATGCAGGACTCGGATGCAGGACTGGGATTCAGGACCGGGACGCAGGACCGGGACGCAGGACCGGGATGCAGGACCGGGATGAAGGGCTGGGATGCAGGACTGGGATGGAGGGCTGGGATGCAGGCTGGGATGCAGGACGGGGATGCAGGACCGGGATGCTTGCCCCAGCACTCTCATGGTTACAGGTAATTGCATCTAAATCCACCCCAGACCAGGGCTTGGAGGTTGTGGCGGGTGCCTTGTCCCCAGCTCCTGCCTCATGGGGAGGGGAGCCCCCAGCACCTAATGGGTGCTCCCTGATCACTTCATGTCCTGCCCGCCTTCCCTTTCCTCCCTGCCGGGTGCCCCCTCCAGCCGCCCCTTCCCACTGGGAGCCTCAAACCGCACGGAGATGCCCTTGGAAGGAGCTCACTGGTTTGGTACCGGGGAGGTGAGGGAGGGTTAGGGTTAGGGGTTAGGGCTGAGCGGCTCCATCCCTGCACTGGAGGGAGCTGAACTGGGGGTTGGGGTGGGAAAGGGGTCTGGGATTGAGGGATGTGCAGCGTGGGATCACATTAGGGGATGCGGGGTGGGGGGGAGCTCCCAGATTCCCACCCCTCGGGTGCTGCAGAGAGGGGACATGGGGAGAAGTGGAGGGAGCTTGGGTGAAGCCAGAGCCTGGCCTGGGATTTAGCATCATCCTCCTGGGAAAACATCCCCATCCACCCCTATGAGAGCCGGGGGAAGGGGTCTGGTACCTGCACCCTGGCTTCGGTCAGGTCCGTCTGCAGCGCCAGCTGCTCCCGGGCATAGACATCGGGATAATGCGTCCTCTGGAAAACCTTCTCCAGCTCCTCCAGCTGGAACGTGCTGAAGGTCGTCCGGTTCCTGCGCTTCTTGCTCTTACCCAGGGGCTCCGGGAGCTCGGGGACCCGGTGCAGGCCGCCCAGGGGGGCTCCCATTGCGCACCCCGGGCCTTTGGGGAGCTCCCGGCAGGGCGCGGGCATCACTTGGTACCCACCTCTGCATCCCTTCTCGCTGCCTGGCAGGGGACAGGCACAGGATGGGGGGGTGTCAGTGATGCTGATGAAGACAAGACAGCCCCAACCCTCCCTTCCCACCCCTGTATGGTCCCCGTCACCCCAGGAGGGTGCTGCGATGCGGTCCCATGGGCTCAGGACAGGCACAATCCCTGCTCATGGGGGGAGCTGTGGGCAGGCAAGGTCACAGTGGGGGGGACCCTCTTGGATGCTGCTCTGGGTGAATGGAGGGGCGGTAGAGGAGGTGAGAGCAGGGTCCTGCAGACACTCGGCCCTTCCCACCCTGCTCCATTCCAGCACTGATGCTGACAGATCCAGACCTCCCGGGCTCTATCCCATGCAGTGTATCCCATCCCCTTGCTCCTGCTCTGGCATTTCCCTATAGCTGAAACTTGGGAAACCAGCTGGAAAGGAGTGACCCCCCCCCGAACCCCTCTTCTGCTGGAGGACTTCCCCCCCCCCCCCCCCTCAGAGCTGGAGCAGATCTGGGGGTTCCCCCCTTCCCTTCACTGCTGCTGCAGCTCAGGGGTGTCCAATGAAGCGGCTTCAAGGGGATAAATCACTGCCCCACAGTAAGAGGTCACCCTCCTCCCCATATGGGGATGTAGGGATGCACACGGGTACCACAGCCAATGCTGGGTGCTGCTGGCACCCCAGGGAGATGAACCAGTGAGGAGGGGACTTAGAAGATGGGGGGGGGATGATTTGGGGTCCCCCAGCACTGAGGGGGTTCAGCTGGGAAGGGGAGAATGTGCCAATGCTGGGGGTCACTGTGGTCTCCCCCCCAAGCACCAGCTCCAGCGACTCAGGCAGGGGGAGACCCCCTGGCCCCCTTGTAGGGGCAGGATTGGGCCCACGGCAGGGCCTGGGGCCAGTGAGGGGGGAAATGAGCTCCTTTGGGATGGATCTTCCTTCCCGGCCCATTTAACCACCACATCCTAATGGAGCGGGGGAATGGGGGTCCCCATCCCTATGGACTCAGCCCCTGCTGAGGCCTTTTCCGGGCTTTTGGTTTTGATTTTTGGCTGTTTGCTAATGAAGGCGATTTGGGGGTTCCGGAAGCAGCCGAGAGCCCGGCTCCAGCTGCTTCGGATTAGTGGGAAACCGTTCTTTGGGGGGAATACTGGCAGCGGGAATTGCTCCCCATCCCCTCGGTACCGGCCTGCCCCGTGCCCGGCAGTGGGTAACGGTGAAGGGATGAGGCCAAATCGCTGTTTCCTGCCCGCTTTGTCCTCCGAAGGGCTGGGCCGAGGGGTTTGGTGATCCAAACCGAGTCCCAAAGGAGCCGAATGAAGGGAAAACGCCCAAATAGGACTAAAAACTGGGAAAACGGACCGAAATAAAGCTAATCCCGCTGCATGAGGCATCGGGTTTGGGCTTCCTCCCTGTTTCCCAAGGCAATTCCTGAGCGACCCGCGGCATTGGAGACAGATGAATAAATGGCCCGAAAGAAGAAGAAAGCAGGAAGGGAGAAGGATGCGGGTGCGTAGCTAAATCAACACGGCGGCGCAAGGGGACAAAGAGGATGGGAAAAGGGGATATAGTGTGGAATAGTGCTATTTCCACCCCAAAAGGTTCAGCGGCTCTGGGGATCTCGCAGCTGGAAAACAGCTGTCCCATTGCTGGGGGAAAGGCGAACTCAAAGGGATCATTGGCGACGGGATGGGGCATGGAAAAGGCTCCCAGGAACCGGGCAGGACACAGCAGTAACCGGTGAAAGCTCCCCCCTGGACCCAGCAGCATCCCCGCCGTGCACCGGGAGCAGGTAAGCGCGGCCGAAGGGACCGGTCCCGGTGCCCCCGGTACCCCCGGTACCTGTTCCTCCCGGTTGGGAGCTGCGAGGGGGCTTTGCTGGGCCCCACCTGGTTCCCGTTACACCCGCGGCGCTGCCTTGGTCTTCTATTAAGGGGTGGTAAAAGGCCCGTGGGACCGGGGAGCCCCCGACGGTCCCGGCCGGGAGGGGAAGTGCGAGGGAGCGGTGAGAGTTCGGCCGCTGGAAGCAACGGGAGAGCCCCAGGGAAGCGCCTCGTCCCGCCGGGATCCGGTGTGGAGCCGACGGGAACCGGGAGCGCTGGAGCTCCGGAGCCCCGCACCGGGCTGCGCCTTGCGAGCCCCGGGTCCTGCCCGCTGGGGCCTTTCCAGCCTCCCCCGGGGGACGGGGCCGTTCTCCAGCCCCGGTAACGGGCTCTGGCCCCGGCGGGAGCCGCCGTCGCGGCAGCGGGACCGGGGTCTCCGCCGCTGCCTCTTTTCGCCTCGGTCCTGGGCGGTGGGGCCGATCCCGGAGCCCCGGGTCTCTGTCGTGACACAGCCCCGGCTGCCCGACCCACGGGCGCATCGGCCCGGTCCTTGCCGGCTCCCCGCTCCCGTCGGGGGACGCCACCCGCGATCCGACGGGGCCGTATCGCGACAGCGGCCGCCTCGGTGGAGCCGGGGCCGCTCGGGAAGGGCTCAGGGCTCCGGGTCCCTGCAGCCACCGAGGGCAGGGGCAGAGAAGGAGGAAAGAGAAGCAGAAGGGGCCGAGGAAGAGGTCGGCGGCCCCGGGGTCCCCCATCCATTCCCCCCCCCCTCCCTCCCCGCCGCTCGCCCCGGTACCTGCAGCCCCGGCCGGGTAAAGCGGCTTCCCATTGACGGCCATGGCGAGGGGGCCCGGGCTGGAGAGCGCCCGGTACCGGGGCTCTGCCCGCTCCTGCGGACACCGGGCCAGGCGGGGGCCGAGCGGCGGCGGGCGCCGGAGGGGACCCGGGGGGAAGGCGCTGGGAGGCCGGGGCAGCCCCGGGGGGGGCCCGGCCCGGCGAGGCGGGGGGAAGGCCGGGCAGGCCGGTGCCTCCATGGCGCAGGTTGGAGGGACCGGGGGGGGGCGGCCGGAGGGGAGCGGATTTTGTGCGGGGGCCCTGGGGAGGAGGAGGAGGAGGTGGTGGAGGGGGGGGGCGGTGATGGGAAGGGAGGGATCGCTGAGCCCCCCCCATGCACACCCCCACCCCCAGCCAGTCACGTGCGTCCAACCACGGCCCCTTCGTTAACCCTCGGATCCCAAATCCCACCCCCAATTGCCCCCAGCTCCTTCCACCGGGGGGGTCCGAATCAAGCAGCAGCCCCCCCCCCCTCCACCCCCATACAGGGGCTTATGGGGGGAGACCCCTCCTCCCCTCCCAGCGCTCCCAGTGTCTCCCAAGTACAGGAAATGCCCAGGGCCCTTCCTTCATTGAGAGCCTCGTCCCAGCCGCTCCGAGCAGCCCCAAATCCCAATCCCGGAGAGAAACTTCCACGTTTCAGTCACCCTCTGGGCTTTTCCCCTTCCCAAGTTTTCCTGAACCCATTTGTAGCCTCTTCCTCCCACCAAGGCCCCTGCTGAGGCCTGGGCAGGTCAGTTCAGGGTTGGTCATTATCCTGGGACATGGGATCTGGGATCCTATGGGGCCATTTCTGCCTTTAGGGCCGGGGCTGGGCTCTCTTGGTTGGGTTTTGGTCACTCTCAGCACCGGGGAGGCCCTGTCCTGCTTGCTCTGTATTCCTGCTGCTGGGTCCCCCCATTCCAGCAGTGGGCACTGGCGATGGGGATGAAGGGATCGGCGCTCGCCTGGATCTTCTTTCTTCACCCTTTCGCCTCCCTTTTTGCTCCTCGGCATCCATCCGCTCCGGAGCTGCTTTGCCTGCTCCTGGAAGCAGGCGTTCTCCTGATGGATGCACAGCTTTGGGGGTGTTTGCATGCAAAATGCTGGGGCAGGTTTGGGAATTCCAAGGCTTGGTGGGAAGGAGAGAGGGGATCAAACAACAGGCACGGAGCAAGGAGCCGTTACCTGGGCTGTGGGGTGCTGGTTTCCACCTCCGGTTGCTGTTTTCCCCGTTGCACCACAGATTGTGGCTTGTAACTTCCAGCTCTTTCCTGGGCATCCCTCCTTTTCCTAGAGGGAAACAGCCTGCAGGTTTCAGGGCTGCAGGGGATGAGCTACGAGCAAGCAGCACAAAGAGGTGCAGAAGGAGCTGGTGGCTTGCAGGGGGTGATGAACAGCGGAACAACGGGATAACACTGGCCGTAAAACCCCATTTTGCAGTGGGATACTGCTTGTTTTGGCTGTGTTTTGTTACTCCAGGCACGGAGCAAACCTGGAATCACAAGACAGGCTTGTTCCAAAGTGCTTATGGGGAGCATATAACCCAAGCCTGGTGTCTTGGCTGCAGGTGATGTGAAGTGGTTGCAGTGAAAGCCCCGGTTCTCGCAGGAGCGTCAGGCTTGTGGGGTGTAAATCACAGCTGGATTTTCCAGGTCCTGGTCTGGGGAATGGCATTGGCAAGAGGAATAGCGGTTGGGATGCGCTCCTGGGATCAGACTCATTGAGGGGCTGGCTCTGGGATGCGGGGCTCTGAGCGTGCGGTGCCCCCTCCTCGCCCATCCTTGGGATGGATGGTTCCCTCTGCATCCCGCAGCATTCCCGACGCCTTCCCTTGGCAGCAGCAGGAGCTGCCGAGGTTTTTCCCTGTTCACAGCTGGCTGTGTGCTGTTAATTGTGGCTAAATAGGGGCTGTGAGTCCTGCGGCTTGCGGCCGGTCATTAAACACTATCAAAGGGCAGAACTCCTGTAAAGGCTTCCACGTCCCTCTCCTGCTTTACTGCTGGCATTTAAGGGGTTTTAATAGCAGAGGGATGAGTCTCTCCATGTGTGCTGGTGGTGCGGAGGGGCACGGGTGGCTTGGTTTGGGATGTGCTGCTTTTCCAGGCTGGAGCCATCACCAGGACCCTCCTGGGCAGGTGGAAGTGAGCTCGGGAAGGTGGGAATGGGGTGTGTGAGACCTAGGGAGGGGTTGCTTTGTGGGGCTGCTGGTTGGTCCCTCTGGTGAGCAGGGCTGAGGACAGGGACTCCTGGGGGCTCCTGAACCTGACACCAACCCGTGGCAATGGAGCCACCAAGTGCAGCGGGAGGACTCCAATGGGATGCTCTATGGGCACTCATCTTCTCTCTTTGGTTTCTCTCTTGCTTGATGGAAGGAGGAATTCCTCTCCCCCCCCTCTTTGCATCCCATTGGCTTTCCCGACCATCTCCAGTGATCCCAGAGGATCATTCTCCTCCCTTGGGATCATGAGAGCTCAGCAGGAGGCCAGGAGGGTTTGCGTAGCTCTGTGCTTTGTATGAACATCCCTGCACAGGCTTTGCAGAGTTATCCAGAGCCTTGGGAACGCTGGTGGGGCACGGAGCAATGCCTAATGCACGGGAATGGGAATGGGCTTCTCCTTCTTCAAGGACAAGGTCAAATAGGGTAGATGAGGACCACGAGTGCTTGTGTCCCCTCCTCCAGGTCCTGCATCCCATGGTGAGGACCTGCTGAGCCCAAGGGGAAACCCATCCCTGGCTGGTCTACACCCATGCTGAGTGTCAGCATGGTCTAGTTTGCCTCGGTCACATCCCACAGGGACAATGATCTCAGCCCTGAGCAGCAAAGGGAATCCGTGCCCTCTCCTATGGTTGTTTTTCATTGCTGCAGAGCTATCAGGGTTCAATCCACAACCCTTTCCCATCTGCACATCCTTCTCTCCTTCCCCAAAACATCCCATAAAGTCCTCCCATTCCTAATATCTGACTCACTGTAGAGCTCCGGCCCAGCTACGGTTTGATCTCGCTTAGGAATGTGCACGTCAATGGCAGGAAAAAATGACTTTATTGATTCCTGTGGGGAAATCTTTGCTGATCACAACCAGAGCCCAAACAGGGTCAGGTTTGCTCTTTAATGGGGTAGAAAATGGCCCTGCAGAATCACAGCCACAAACATTCCCCTGCGTATCATAACAATGCACAAGAGGCAGGGCACAGCCTGTGGCACACACGTGCTTCATGTGTTTGCACATGGATTTATAGGCACACGTGCATATTTACATCCATAGACATGCATATTTATACATATACACATGCATCTTTTTATATATACATGCATATTTACGTATAGACACACATTTGTATGCACATAGAATAGTTAGGGTTGGAAAGGGCCTTAAGATCATCCAGTTCCAGCCCCTTGCACATCTGTATACACATGAACATTATATGTACATACACATTTATATGCACATACACATTTATATACATATTTATAAACACATTTATATACACAATTATATACACAATCATATTGATATACTCATGCACATTTATAGCCACCCAGATAGACACACTGATAAATCAAGCCCATGCAATCGTACATGGTAATCCTGCACACAAACACAGTGCGTTTCTGCATTCCTCCCTCTTCCTACCACGTGGACACAAAAATCGTGTAGATTTGTGTCTCCATTGCATCGAGATAGAATGGAAATGGCATAAAAGACCTCAACCGGTATAAAATGATATTCCAATGGGATTGCGTGCACATCCCGATCTGCTGCGCTGTGTTGGAGCCCTGCGGATGTAGCGAGGAGGGACACATCGGCTCTAAAAGCAGTGCCAGTTATGGGGATTTTCCTGGGGAAAAGAGTGAATCTGTTGGAATTCCAGTTTTTGGGGGGTTATTTTGGGTGTGATTGAACCTCTCTGTTCCCGTTTTCCTGCGGGCGCTGTTTTCCAGAGCAGCATTCCATGTCGGAGCGTGCTGTAAAGGATTGGTAGCGAGACCGAGCGAGGAAAGGAAACCCGCGAACACAAAGTGCGGGATTAAAGCTGAGCCCATTGCTTTGTTTCCCTTTGCATTTCATGGAGCGAGATGAAGGGGAAAGAAAATTCCCAATAAATCCAAGTGATTTGGGCTGGATTCAACCCAATGTAAAAACTCATATTATTTTGCAGCCGTTGAATAAATCCCCCAAGTGTTTATAAGGAATAAATCAGCTTAATTCCCTCAGGCTGCTTTAAACAAGGACCCAGCTCCTTCCTTGCAGTTGGGAACATGGGATGGATTTCTCCCACCGCTTCATTTGGTCTTTATAAAGTGATTTTTCCGATGGGATGGAGGGATGGATCCTTTCTCCCAACGATTCTGATGCCGTTCCGAGCCGCCGATCGGCTTTCTGCTTCCACAGGGAGAGATTTGTGCTAAATCCATGTGTGGGATTTTCAGGCTGCTTTGGAAAGTACTTCAGGATGCCGAGTTCAGGCTTATTTTTCCTTCCATCTGCTCCAAATATATATTATATATATGTATATGTGTATATATATACACATATATAAAAAGGGATGAAATGAAGCCTGGAAGTGGCAGCGGCTGGGATTTTTGGGAGATATTCCGGGCTGGATGTGTGTTTATGGCATGAATCCCTCTAAAATACATGGAGCTGGGAGCCGAAAGGGTCTTTGACTCCTAAAAATCTGATAGCAATCGCAAAATCAGGAATACATCAAGGGATTAAAGGGAATTCCAGCTTCGCTCTGTCAGGAAGCGGTAGGACCCGAGTCAATTGGATTTCCTTTTAGAGTAACGCCGTAACGTGGCATAAATCTAACAGCACGAAATAAATGGATTCCCTTTGGATTTAATATGTACAGAGCCAGGAGCAGGATCCGGCCCCTGGGTTATCAGAGCAGCTGGATAAATGGGTGTAAACTGGAGTTAAGTTGGTGCTGGGTGCTGGTGCAGATTAATGCTGCCTGTGGGATGTACGGCTCCACTGCCAGGGGATTCTGCTGCCCTTGGGGGTTTATTCCCCATGACCCTGGGCTGAGTTTGGGCTTTGTATGGAAAACGGATGGAAAATGGTGAAAATGGGGGAAAAAAAGGTGAAAAGGAGGGGATGTGGGGAATGTTCTTGGGGTGTTGGGCAGGGGGTTAAGCCCAGCTCCTGTCTGTGCAGTGAGGGATCAGGAATAGATACAAGCCCTTCCAGGAATGAGCTTTGTAAAAGCAAACATG